ACGGAAGGTTTCCAGATGGATATGCGGAGCAAATCCATCTGGCGCAGTCAGGTTACTGAATCACGCCATCTAGCGGAAAATCCAGCGGCTTTTTCAAATGACGCGAGAATGTGGGTCGTTTTCAGCGATTGTCGGTGATTTTAAGTAATTTTGAGTGATAATGCAAATGCAATGACATTTGTACTCTCCCGACAATAAAAACGACTTGCCCCGGGCGATGGTTAACATCGAGCCCTGTAATATAATCTCAATTTTAGATGCATCAATTCTCCAACAGCAAAAAACAAATATATTTCCCTCATCAGGACTGTAGAGTCCAGGTATTAAGCCAATTAATTCGATCCAGATTTGTTAGAGAAGTGGAAAATTCAAAAGGACAGAATCCCAGCCATTAAAATACCGACTCAGGGTAAATAGAAAAGCACGCTGCACCTTTCATGTTTCTACTTTTCTTGAAAATCATCATTTTCTTCCAACTTCCCCATCATACACTGCGCAGGTCTGTCATGTATTTAGCAATAGCGTCTTGAGAAATCTGGATTATGAACTTATTCTTTTTTCCAAATGGCCTTAAAAGCTGAGTTAACATGGACACACATCCTCTAATCGAGGCGTCTGAGGAGGAAGTGCGACGCTTTAGTTGTTGTGAAAGACTCGACAGATTTGGTCATGAAACCGAACATGGGGTGTGTGTGGGGGGGGGGGACATAGACAGATCCGAAGATATTGCTTCATTTAATGAAATTACTTAAAAGGTATCAAAGCATTTCAGAATGCATTCGAAGAGGAGGACTTGTGGTGCGTCGCTGTGCAGATGGTGGCAGCTGTGGTGCTGAACCGTCTCATTTATTTGCTGGATTGAAACTTGCAGCAGGAAGAGATCATCACTAACTGCCCGTCGAAAGCGAGCCGCAAACAACAGAGAACATTGATAATTAATCTGTTGCAATCAGTCCTGCAAGGCTTTTAACTTATTGCGCAATAGCATGTCAGCTACAGGATCGTCTGTGCGTTTGAGAAAGCAGAGAGGACCGGTGTTGTGAATTCAGCGTACCGCGTCAGGCCAGCATATCCTTAGCAATAAGCATGCGCGCATGATCATTATTAGCGGTTATCAGTCCCATTGAATAGTTTTAGATTGTGCCAGTAGACTTATTAGGTTGTTATCATCGACGTAACGTAATTTATTTTCCCCCCCCGCGGAAATAATTTATCTATTTATGTGTAATCTGAAAATAATTTCAGTAGTTCTTCATGTGCTGTAAAAATAAATGAAATGATCCGCATGTCGCTCATATTAAACGAACTAAAAATAAAAAATAAAACTCATATCCTGTCAACTGAGTTGTAGAATCTTCTCCTTATAAACATTTAATTCTCTGTGAAAAAATCCAGATAATTCTTAAAAGTCGTAGGGAAGCGGCTGTTCCAACAGTCGCATTTCCGAATTCTCCCGAGTGGCGCCCGACATTACACGAGTGCATAAAGTGAATGTGATTGGTTGTTTATCAAGGGGGCGGGATTGTTGGGGCGGAAGGTTCGCGAGCAAGTTTGGTTGTGGCCGGTTTTGCGGAAGCATCTTGCTAACCAGTTAGCAACTTGTAACAATGGTAAAATAAATTATTATTTCTTATTTCAA